CTTTATCTAGGCTTTGCATTAACCCATGAAGGATCCCTTTTCCAACCCCCAACACACTGGCCACCTCAGAGTAGTTGTCTTGGACAGGGGAGGTCAGTCAGGTATTGTGAGAATGCTGTTAATACTCAAAATATGGTTGGAGGACCTTGTTTCAGAATTATTTTCAAAAAGTCTGTGGCATTATTTTTTTAAATCTCAGGGTTAGGGGATCTTTATCCTTTGAGAACAGATTTGTTTTTTTAGGACAGGCCAAAAGCCACTTGAAGTTAAGTCAGATAACTGAGGTATCAAACTGGTAAAACCATTTTTGGTCAAAAATAGAGAGTGATTGAAGTAACAGAATGCTTTTCCTGAGCAGTACCACAGAAAGCTCCAAAAAAAAAAAATCCTTTGAGAAATGTCAATACCTGTGGAAGAATGGTTTCCTTAAGTGACTACCTTAAGGGAAATACTAATTTATGTTGCACTGATTAAAGTCATCCTTAATCCCAAGACCTAGTTATTTTGCTTGTTTTTAAAAGTTTGTCATTACCTTAAAAGTTATACCACATACAGGCAAGGGCAGTGTGATTGGCTAAAATACCCTTGATGAGAAGTATGTCATCATAAGTAGATGGAGTTTTCTGTCTAAGAAAGTCCTAATCTAAAGGAATTAGCTTAGAGTGAATAAATTAGATCTATAATACAGATTCATTTCATTGCATTTGATGGTAAGAAATAGATTAGTCAGGGTCCTGAGATCAAGCCCCATATCGGGCTCCATGCTCAGCGCAGAGTCTGCTTAAGACTCTCTCGCTCTCTCCCTCGCCCACCCCGTGCATGTGTTCGCTTGCGTGCACTGTCTCTCAAATAAAGAAATAAATCTTTAACAAAAGAAATATATTAGTCAGGAGTCTAGTTACCTCTATCATAACCAAATATCTCTTCCCCTCTGTCTTTTTGTTATAGGGAAAAATATGTTTCTCTGATGCTCATGGTAGAAAATTAAAGAAATACAGAAAACTATAGAGAAGCTAACCAGTGCTTCTACTCTTTTTTTTTTTTTTTTGGTAAGATTTTATTTATTTATTTGAGAGAGAGAGAGAGTGCAAGCAGGAGGAGGGGCAGAGGGAGAGGGAGAGAATCCTTAAGCAGATTCCCGGCCGAGCGTGGAACCCATTGTGGGGCTCAATCCTAGGACCCTGAGATCATGACCTGAGTCAAAACCAAGAGTCGGATGCTTAACCAACTGACAGAGCCACCCAGGCATCCCTTACCAATGCTTCTACTCTTAAGAAGAAAAGGAAACTTTTACTATTTTGCTACATTTCCTTCCAGATTTTCCCTGGCAGAGTTTTATATAGTTGAGACCACATTACATAATAAAGTCTACAGACTGCCTTCTTTTTCTTAATGTTCCACTAGTATCATTTCGGACACTTAAAGCTCTAAGGTTTTTGTGCCACATGACACATTGGGTAGAGTCTGTATTTCCTACCAGAGCCCTAACTCAGTTTTTAAGAGTCTGATGAAGTGTTGGGCCTTGAGACCTGGACACCCCAATGTAGCGCCCAGTGCCTTGATGACTGAGATGACACTACCCTCCAAGAAGCAACACCGGAGGGGACACTGCAGACTCATCCTAGCTGCTCTCTGTGCCAGTCTGTGGGCACTGCCACACTCCATGTTTTTTTTAACCCTGATTGAAATTGGTGGGACTCCACAGCACTATGTGGGCCCAGAACATCGTCCAACCATTCAATGACGTAAAAATGTCTTAGAGCCACCAGTCACTTCCCTCCCCACTAACATTTTTTAGCAGTGAGGGTAGCACTTTGGTCTTCGGGCTTACTGTTTTACTTTTGTCTGAATGAGGCACTGACTTCTCATGATTTCTTGAAAGCATGCAAAGAGAATGTAGGAACAAAAGAAGGAAAAGGCTGCAAGGAAAATGTGCATAGAGACGTTGGTTGTGTTATTCAGAACAACAGCACTCCTTAGATTTTGTCCTTCGCAAAAAAAACCAAGGTAAATGCGATGGCTTTTACTGCCCATGCCTGTGTCCTCCCAGTTGCTTTATCACCTACCCCCATCTTTCTCTCTCACAAGAGCACAGCACAGGGGCATCTGGGTGGCTCAGTTGGTTAAGTGTCTCCCAGGGTCCTGGGATCAAGCCCCGCATCGGGCTCCCTGCTCAGCGGGGTACCTGCTTCTCCCTCTCATCTATGCTCTCTCTCAAATAAATAAATAAAATCTTTAAAGAAGGAAGGAAGGAAAGAAAGAGACAGAGAAAGGAAGAAAGAAAGAAGAAAGGAAGGAAAGGAAGGAAGAAAGAAAGAAAAGCACAATCCATTAGTCACCATGCCTCAGTTGACCATCATTCATCCAAAACATCTTTTATGGTGGTTTAGGGGTGAATTAAATGGCTCAGCTCTTAGAGATGTTGTCTTTTTAGTAAGCCTACTTAAATATTGCCACATTGTTACTGAGAAATGGCCAACTTCAATCCAAACACCCACTGAGAACTGGTACAGAAATCTGTTAACCATACATCATACTGCCCTGTAGAATTTTTGGAAAAAAACTGCTTTCAAAATATACTACAGTGACCCTTTTTATTAGATTTATCCACCAAGGCTATAGGATGACTGAACTGGTGTAATTTCCTATTTTTAAAACCAGTGACTAGATTTAAAAAGAGGTTTTAAGAAGCAAAGGGCTTCTTTTTTTTTTTTAAAGATTTTATTTATTTATTTGAGAGAGAGAGAATGAGAGAGAGCAAGCACATGAGAGGGTGGAGGGTCAGAGGGAGAAGCAGACTCCCTGCCGAGCAGGGAGCCCGATGCGGGACTCGATCCCGGGACTCCAGGATCATGACCTGAGCCGAAGGCAGTCGCCTAACCAACTGAGCCACCCAGGCGCCCAAGAAGCAAAGGGCTTCTTAACATCTATTTTTTTTTTCACAACTATCTTTCCACATGAAATGTTTGGAAGTCTGACCAGAGAATTTTTATGGATGCTTTACAAGCACTCTTATGAGCAAATCACTGTCAGAAGATAAGGCCTTGGGTATGATTCCAGTACAACAACAGTCACTTCATTTTATTTTTTTATTTTATTTTATTTTTTAAAGATTTTATTTATTTATTTATTTGACAGAGACACAGCGAGAGAGGGAACACAAGCAGGGGGAGTGGGAGAGGGAGAAGCAGGCTTCCCGCAGAGCAGGGAGCCCGATGCGGGGCTCGATCCCAGGACCCTGGGATCATGACCTGAGCCGAAGGCAGACGCTTAACAACTGAGCCTCCCGGGCGCCCCGGGTCACATCATTTTAGAGGAATGGCCGTTGAGGCTTCAACGCCATGGTCAGTGTGGGCGTCCCAGGGCCCACGACGCCGTGAGGGCTCCCTGCGTGTGGCTCCTAGATGATCACGATTATTGCTACCTCACCCACAACACCTTTATTATCTTTTACACATGAGACTTTTGAAAAGGTTTCACATCTTTATGTTTTTTACAATCACCAGGCCAGCTGCTTTCATTGTACAAATCAGAAAAAGAAAACCCAAACACTGGTAGAAGCTGATGGCTTACGTTTTTGGTTTTGGCAGTTTTCCCCCCATTCCTTACTTGCCTGTTTGCTGACCACCACACACGGGTGTGTCGTGGTCACGTAGGAAAGCCAGCTCCTAAGCCCACGGCGCCATCTCTGAGCTGGACCTACGTTATTTGTCTAGCATCTTTTATTTTGCTTGCTCTGGTTCTTCACTGACGTAGGGATTGGCATTTCTGTCTGTTTCTTTAGAAAGCACTTCTCCCGGAGAAATAGTAAAATTGACTCCTAGGCTTTTTTTCAGAGTGGGGGCTGGTGGTGCCTGCATTTAGCACCCTGGAGGATGAGGCAGGATTGAACAGAAGCATTAACAGAAGATTGAAGAAGACCAAAGAATCTTCTGTTTGTTATCAGGGCTTTTCTGAAGCATCTGCTTTGAGACACCCTCTATTCATGAGTGTATACATTTGACACAATGGGACAGGATACCAAAGTAAGAGTGACTGAAACAAATAGAATTTTCTCTCTCTCAGTTGAAAGCCCCAAATCGGTATGGCAGCTCAGCTCCACACTGTGAGGGATACAGACCTCTGTTGCTCCACCATCCAGGGTGCGGCTGTGGTCCTCATAGCCCAAGGCGGCTTCCCCTGAATCTGCGCCCCAGCAGCTGCAAAGGGGAGGGACAAGCACAGCCCACGAATGACACACACTTAGATCTCATTGGACAGAGTGGGATCTGTGGCCACACTCGGCTTTCTGGGAAGCTGGGAACTCTGGGCAGCAACGTGTCCAGTTAAAAATATCGAAGGTTTTGTTACACAAGGAGGTAGAGACAGAGATTGGAGGATAATGTGCATTTTGTATCTCACACCCATATCTTAAATTTTCTCTGATCCCTTTGCACACTTAACCTTCAAAATAAAACGTCTTTTCTCACAGAAGAGAGACTTAGGAGAGTGAGAACTGGGATATGGAAACATCAGAATGCATAGTCCTCAGAAGGAGGAATGCTTGAGAGCCCTTACTTTTCTCTGGGGTTTCTAAGGGCTGGCTTAATTTTTGTTTTGATTTCTAGGTGAACTTCCATTCCTTTATGCCCCCTAATCCCACTCAAATTTGATACCATGTAAAGACACAAAAGGTAATATCTAGCCATCTTAAAACTCAGGCACTTTAGAGAATGGGTCTTTTAAACTGTAACTGCAAATTATAGCCAATAAAGTGTATTTCATATTTTCATTTAGAACAAAGAAAAATGAAAAAACGATTGTATGATTTGTCGTACTTTACTTGCTGTTGACTTGTGTATGGGTGGTCAGAAAGGTCAACCGTATACAGCCATCAGCATAACCTGGCCATAAAAATACTTCAGATGGTATACACACACACAAACAAGTCTTTTAATTCCATATGGAATGCTATACAAATCTATACTGGGGGGACTAAGGGGTGATTCCATATCTAATAGTAAAAATAGTGGCTATAAATATGTCTTTCATACTCGGATCCTCTCCTGGGGATATAACAAGGTAAACGGACCTGTGCCTCAGCAATGAAAATATGGTGAAAAGATGAGGATTACTATGACTAATGATGTTTAAATATATTTAAAATTATAAATAAGGGGCGCCTGGGTGGCTCAGATGTTTAAGCGTCTGCCTTCGGCTCAGGTCATGATCCCAGGGTCCTGGGATCGAGCCCCGCATCGGGCTCCCTGCTCCGCGGGAAGCCTGCTTCTCCC